ATGAATTTTTAAGTCTTCTAATTTAGCTTTTAAATCTAAAATATCATTGTGTTTAAATACTTTAACTTCAGCATTAGAAGATCTCATCCCAGTAATTATGGAAGAATGATTTAAAGCATCAGAAAAAACAACATCTCCTTTCCCTACTAAAATAGGAATTAGTGTAGAATTAGTAGCAAATCCCATTGGTACAACAACAGCAGCTTCCTTATGTAAAAATTCAGCTAACATTAATTGGAGTTGTTCTTGTTCTTCAGAAATTCCTATTTCAGCAGCAAACCCAGTTAAACAAGCTCCTTTTGTTTTTAATGTTTGAATAATTTCTTTTGTAACAATTGGATGTCTTCCACCAAATCCAAGATAATTATATGAACCAAAATTAATAGCCTCTCTTATGTTTCCTTCAATCAATTCAAGATGTTTACCTCCTTCTACAGGAACTTCTTTTCTAATTCCTATAGAAATGTGATGTTCAGGTGGTCCACAAAGTGGTCTATTAAAACAGTCATAAGAAGTGGTATAAATCTTTCTAACATAAAAGTCTTCTGGTGTTTCTCCAGTTAATGGAGGTTCAAAGTTATTTAGACCAAGCCAATAAAGACACCAGTCTTTATAATCACTAAGTTTAGCAGACCCCATCATCCAATAATAACCATATTGAGCATGTCTCTCAATACCAATGTATTGCCATAAATTTCCCCATGTTGAAAGTTGATAATTATCGTTGTTTTCCATTGAATTTAAATTTATTTAACGAACTGCCTTTTATATACCCTTAGCCAATCACTAAGATTGAAAACAGACATTATTTTTGTCTGTTTTAAGTAGCTGCCTCTCAACTCCCTATTCGCAATTTTTTTGGATTTTGTACTTGTCTGTTGGTGACGTGTCTTCTTTTTAATCAAGCATAACACTAATTCGAAATTAATTGAAAAAAGAATATTTCTTAAAGTAATAAATTCATAAGAAATAGAAATAATAAAATTTTTTTATGAAAGATTTTTTGTGAATTTTAAAAGACTTCTGATGATATATTTATAAAAAAAAAAATAATAATTATAACATAGATATATTATTTTATGAATTAACATCTAATACACATATTCATAAGTAGATGGGTCATCATCTTTTCTTTTCATATATTCTTTTTCGATAAGAAATTCAATGCATTCTTTAATCATTATAGTTGATGGTACAAATTTATATGAGCTAATTTTCATTATTTCTTCTTTTAATTGTTGATATCCAATAACTTTCCTTTGTTTCATAATTCTTACAATAATTGCTTGTAGACTAACCTTTCTACTTTGAACGAGTTCTTTATTTATTTGATTTTCTTTAGTAATTTGATTAATTTCTTGAAATCCAATAACAATTTTTTTTCGTTTTTGCTCAGTAAAATAAGATGTTTTGATACGGTTATTTGCAATAACCCCTAATTTAGTTAATACTTTCTCTGCCCTTTCAATGTCTTCTTCTTTTATTTTACATTTACATTTCCATTCTGTTTGGTATTGATTAATAAGGTCTAAAATAATATAATAAATTCCTGACAATACCATCTCATATTTATATTTTCCAATAGTTACTTTAACACTAACCTTAGCTAAATTATTAAGCCATTTTAACTTTTTACTTTTTCCATTTTTTAAGTATTCTTCTTCAAATCTGCTTTGAGCCAATGAAATACTTTTAGGGAGCATATCATTTGATAATGAATTTTCACTTGAAAATGGCCAAATACCTGAAGTTAAAATATTAACATAAAGAGGAGTTATATAGAGTTCATGAAAGTGAGCATTTAAATTAACACTATTATTAATGTCACGAACCATATGATTCATTTTAGATACATACTCAAATCCACAGACAGAACGAATTCCATCAATACTACTTTTCTCAATATCTTCATCAATACTAACTGTTTTGTTTATTAATCTCCGTGCAAAATAATGAGAATTAAAATGCATAAAAATATCTTTGTTTTGAACTGCTTGTAAAATATTCATCAATTCTTCTATCTTCGTTAATATAACTTCTTTACTGTCTTTTCCTACTCTAACCCCACGTAATAGTTGATCAATATATTGAGCTATAAATTTGGGATGGAGTTCATTATATTTATTTGATGGTGAGTTGAGGAATTGATTTAAACGTTGTTTTAATTCTTCACCAAATAATGCATTTCCATTAAACAATTTTAAAACCTCATTTACCTTTGTGTGACAAAAAATATAACTATTTAATAGTTCTATTCCAATATCATTTGATTCATTACAAGTAAACCCATTTAATGTTTTGTTAAACATAGAAATAACCCACTCACCAAATGAATGAGAAAGGTCAGTTAATAATTCATTAGAGTTAGAACATTTGTTAAGTGCTTTATAGAATAAAAGAATATATTCAAAATTTTCTGCTTCAAACCCTTCTTTAAAATGAACTTTTAAAACCTCTATCTTCTCTTTCCATAATTCTTCACTCATAATTGATGAAATGTGATCAAAAGTGATTGAGTCAAGATTGCACCCAATTACCTCTTGTTCTTTTTTTAATAAATTAATACCTTCTTTTAAATAATTTTTCATATCAAGTTCTTTAATATGAATATCTGCCCATTTTTTTGTGTACTTTTTAAGTTTGTTTAAATAATCATTCTCAAATGATGATACATATAATCCAATAATATCACTTCCTTTAATAGAATGTAATTGAATAAGTGTTTTACAATACTTTTTTATTTCATTCATTTCATAATTATCACCTTTCCCATTTCTGATTTGTTCAATAATAGTGATAACAACTTCCTGAATTTGTTTTTCCAATAAATCAAAAATATTCTTTTTCCATTCAATTTTACCAATATCACTAATCTCTTTAAACTTAGCACTTGATCCATTTTTAATAATTTCTGTTTCAATTGTGTGTTTACTTAAATATTTACAGGCACGTTCAATATAATTAATGCCATTTTCAAATTGTTCAAATTCTTCATTATAACTCTTAAGTAATTCTTGATTTTTATTACTTTGAATAGTAATAGTAATTTCTTTAGCTCTTCGAGTAATAAAAGAATAAATATCATAATATAATCGTTCTCTAAGTCTGTCATCTTGTGAGGCACAAATTGAATAAACTATATTGTACAATAACATAACTTCTCCACTATCAATAACTTCTTTAGATTCCATAATTTCTTTAAACTTATTATATAAAGTGTTTTTATATTGAGTATATTGTTCCTCAGAATATCGTTGAGTATATAATGATTGAAACATCTCTTTCTTTAACTTTACAGTTCAACTGTGATTTTTCGGTAGAATTAAACTTTTCCTTTCGACTTTAATAACACAAATTATTCTAATATAATTTGTTTTTAAAAACAAAAAAATTTGTTATTTTTTCTATTTATATTTTAATAGAACAAACTTATATTTTTTAATGGCAGAAGAAAAGAAAGTGATTGCAGAATTACAGTGTAACACAAAAGGGTATCCATCCCTTTTAATAACAGAAAAGAAAACTACTTTAGGGAGATGTAACTCAGCATGTGAAATATCAAATGATACAATTAGTTATACTCATTGTTCTATAATAACGTCAAGTATTGTCGAACTAGTAGGTAGACCAACACAAAGGAGATATTATTTTGTTGATACTTCAACAAATGGAAGTTATATCAATTATGAAAAAGCACCAGCAAAAGAAGCAATAGAAATAATGTGTTTTGATGAAATATCCTTACTTAGACCAAAGAAAGATGAAGGTGCTGTATCTTATTGTTTGATTGATAAAGAAATTATGAAACAAGAAAATGAAAAGTGTCATATTTTTGATTATTATAAATTATCAAATTTAGTTGGAAGTGGTGGTACTGGGACTGTAAGAAAAGTCTATAAAGGAAAAGAAGTATATGCAATGAAAATACTTCATTATAGTGATTTGACTGACAAAAAGAAATCTCAGATTGAACGTGAGTGTGAAGTTATGTCAAAATTAAATCATCCTAATATTGTTAAATATTACCAATCATTTTCAGGGATTTTTAATAAATATATTGTCATGGAATTTATTGATGGATATGATCTTTTTCATATTGTATTTACAAACAATTTACTTAAAGAAGAATTTATTAAGAAAATAATGTTTGAAATTTTAACAGCACTATTATACCTCCATTCAATAGGTATTATTCATCGTGACCTTAAACCTGAAAATATAATGATACAAAAAGAAAGTTATCAAGTGAAATTAACTGACTTTGGATTTGGAAGAACTGTTGACGAAACACATAGAGCAGATACTATGTGTGGTACTGATGTATATGCTGCTCCAGAAATTTATCGTGGACTTGTTTATGATGGGTGTAAAGCAGATGTATGGAGTGCTGGTGTAGTATTTTTTGTTATGGCTACAAAAGAATATCCTTTTATGCACAAGTCTGATAACAACCCTGATAAAATGATGGTTTCTCATATCGTTAAAGGAGAAAGATATCATTATGATGAATTTGAACAACGGTCAGACCTCTTTAAAGACCTTATCAATAATATGTTAAACGTAGATCCTCAAAAACGTTTTACTGTCAAACAATGTCTCAGTCATGAATTTTTCTCAAGAAAAAGAGATAAGACTAAAAATAAATTATCGACAGAACCAAAAAAGTCTCTTCAGGCTTAACGAAAATGATATTTGGATTGATTAATTTGATTGTATCTCATTGATGAAAATGAATATTTTTTTATTAAAAAAGCTTGTTTTTTGTTATTTAAAAACAATTTAATAAAAATAAAATAAATAATTCTTTTTTATTTAGACTAAAATATTTTTGATGGATTTAATTAATAAGAAATTAATACTTTTTAATTAGAAACTAATAACAATAATAATCCCAAAAATATCTTAAAGCTCCAAATAAATAAAATTAAGATCTTTAACAAAAACCATAAAAACCTGAAAAAAAGGAGGAAAATTCACCAACACAAAAACAAAAAAGAGAAGCTTCTAAGAAAAATCGGAAGAACGAACTTGAAAGTGTTTGGCTATGCCACGCGTTCCACCAAGACGTAAAACTCGTAAGTATTGCCAAGAATTGGCTGAACGTAAAGAACAACAAAAAAGACTAGCTTTGTTAAGTCTTAATACCCATGGAGATACTTCTAAAGAAGTAAAAGAAAACAAAGAATTAAAAGAATGTTGTACTTATGACGTCCAAAAAGTGTCTGTTGAAAAAGAGTTAGAACCTTCCCCAATTAAAGTGTTAACTAGTAAATTCCTTAAATCAGAAACAAAAAAAAAGGAAGTGTCAGATTTTTTAGATCATCAACATGATGTCAAAGGCTTTAATCATAATGAAGAAAAAACTCCTATAAAAGATCAAAATGAAAAGAAACCAAAGAAAAATAAAACTTCCAATACATTAATAAAGTCAAAAGAAAAAGAAGTTATTGAACAAAGTATTAAAATTGAAAGAACTAATTCTCAGCGTTTAATTGAAAATTCAGAAACTTCTGATATTTCAGATTCTATTAAATCACAGACTTTTAAAAATACATTAGCTTTAACTCATAAGAATCTATGTAATCAAGGTAAAGAGTCTTCTGTTAGAATTAAAGAACGTGATAGAAGAATAGTTCAATGGATGGATGAAGCACTTCAATCAAAGACATTACTTCCTTACCCTAATCCTATAACACCTCTTGTTCGTCTGTAAAAAGTTCTTCATAATGTCAAATAAATCTTTTATTATTGTATCTGTTGTTTTGTTTTCTTTTATAAATTAAAAAGAAGAAGAAGTAAATTATTAAAAATAAAACAAGTAAAAATTCTTAACATTGCATCAATAAGAAATTGTTTTTGCTTCTAAATAGACTGCAGTCACAATAGTTCTTATTCAATAACCCAAACAAATCACCAGAAACTATCCAAAAACCACCATATGGCCATAATATAAATGCAAGAACAAAAGTAAATGTTAAGAACCATTGATTGAATCGAATCATCATTCCAGGCGTTTTCTTTGTTTGATAACAGAATTTAGTTAATTTAATTTTATCACAAGCATATTCAATAGCAAATGACAAAGCACCAATTAACATAAGAATTGGAGATGTTGTTGAACCAATAAGGATATTAAATTGTCTGAAATAAATTTCAAAATACTCTGATTCAATTTCAAATTGAGGTGCAATATCATTTTCATCGAAACTATCTTTCCAGCAAGGCATAATACATTTACATATTTTTTTAATAACTCTACTAATAATTGGGAAATGTGCTTTAATAAATGGGAATAATATTCCAAAAAAGTTCGTTAATACTAAATCTGTTAAAACAACAGTAAAGAAAGTAGAACCTGCTGGTGCTAATGGACAACCAACATCTACTTTGACAATACGATTAGTAATATAAATTGACATTACAAGAAAGATTTTTCCAATGAAATATTTAATGGTTCTGTCTTTAACATATCCAATATATTTCTTATGTCTTTCAATAAGAGAAACTAATTGAGCAACAATTCTTAATATTTGATAGAAAACAAATAATAAAACAGATACTAAAATATCATAAAATGAAAATAATGGAAAATTAATTTGTTGCATTTGACTATCAACAAATCTTTGAATACTTTCTTGGTCTGGTTTAAACTTAATAATAACAACTAGAATAGTACAAAAAATTAGTGTAAATACCATAAAAATAAAATATGATATAATTTTCCATATCTTTCTTATAAACCAGGATGATCTTCCTTTTTGAATCATTGAACCATCTTTATCTCTTTCAGTTGGCATATTAATTTGTTGAACAAAGTCTTCATCAATATCCATTAACATTTTTTCTTTCTCATATTCTCTTTTAATAATATTTCTTCTAGTGATATAATAATATAGTCCTTGTCCAAGACATACAATAAAGAATAATATATTCGTAACAAAGAAAAAATAGTAGTTGAATGGTCCTGACCCATATGCTTCAATATATAATAAAGTTAATGGATTAGAAGTTACTGAAGCAAATTCTGATTGAATTGACCATACAAATACTATTCCAGCTCCAATTACCAAATCAGAAACTAAAACATAATATAAAAAATCAAAGTAAAGTGCAATTCCTAAACCAAATCGTTGTCTTAAGACAAAATTTGTACTAAATAAACTCATTGGTTTATTTTTATCTATTTTAGAACAATCAGAAATATTTTCAACTGGTTGTTCTGTTTTATTTTTTACGTCTTCAGACATTTCTATGTCTCCACCATTACTTGGTTCGAAGGCTTTATCAGTCATAAAAAGAGAAATAATTATTTATTAGTTTATATTCTTTCTTTTCATTTATGAAATCTTTTTAAAAAATTATAACTTTTAATCTTCTTAAACAATGAATGGAAAATGAGAGGTATTATGATTTTTTCTTGTAGGAATTGTTTTATTAAAAAAATATTTAATTTTACTGCTTTTTTAATTTATTTTTCAAGAAAAAAATTATTTTTAAGTTTTTTAAGAGAAAGAAATGAAAAGATAATTTATTTGTATATATAACATAAATTTAGTCATGAAGAATAAAGTTAAAGATACCAAGCAATTGCAATGAGTTGTGATATTTTTGATTCTGTAATTGTTTCAAAGAATTTATGAGACTCTTGATTAAATGAATATAAATCACCCAAATCAACACCTTGTTGTTTTATCATTTCAATAAATGCTATTGCTAATTTTATTATTCCATTAAATACTTTTCCTTCACTACAACAAGTACCACAAATTAATCCATCATAAATAATTGAAGTTAAATGAATATTTAAGTCACGAGCAAAGAAACAAACTAAAATTTTATATATTTGTTGTTTAATAATAAATTCATCATATTTTATCTTAAAGTTTTTATCTTTTAATATATAAAATTTAACTATTTCTCTCCATAAACTTTCAGGATGAAATTCTTTAACTCCATCAATTGTTTTACAGTCACAACAAATATTTTGCATAATATAAATTAATAAAACATAAGTAGCGCATTCAATTCTATCAAGAATTTCATTATCTGTTTTTAAATAATTATTAATTGAAAATTCATTGATATAATATTCTGAAAATATTACAAAAAAGACTGCTACAATATCTCCCATTCCTTGAAAATATCCAGGATTTGGAAAATGATATTCATACATTCTTTTTATTCTTCTTATTCTCATTCTTACGTCTTCATGTTTAAATATTTCTTTATACCCTTCTGGAAATAAACGTACTACATCAACATCAATAGTTCTTGCTTGTTTTTTATTTAAATCAAATAATTCACATTCATATGCTTCACTCCAATATTCTATATAAAGTCTTTTTGATTTGATTTGAATAATTTCTTCATAACTACATCCTTCAGTTGCCATACAATACCATACAGGTGCTCTGAGTTCTTTTGGAACTCCATTACTACAATCAAAATATAATTTTCTTTTATCTCCTTTTTTTAAATCTTCTATTATATCATAAACTTTACTTTTATTTCCTTCAAATGTGGTTTGTCTTGTAAATGATGATAGAAGTTTTTGAACATATGAATTTGGATATTTCTTTTGTAGTACTTTCATTCGTTTTTCTAATTCTTCTTTAATACTCATTGATTTATTATTTGTTAGTTCTTTATAAAAATTGAAAAAATTTCTTTTGTTTCTTTTGATTCAAAATTGAAAAAGATTGAAACACTTTTCAAAGTGAAAAAGAAATAATAAAGGATAAAGAAATAGAAAAAACCAAGAAATGTCAATATCAGAAGAATTGTGAAAATAATTACCATTTGAATGAGGTGAATTATAATTGTTTTTATCATAACAATTACAATATTATTAGTATGTTTTATTTCATTCATTTTCAACATCACAATTATTTTTACAACACTTCAGTAACAACAATACAAAATAACATAATAAATGATAAAGACTCTATGAAGGTTATCAAAATAAATAAGAAATAAAACATATAAGAAATGATAGAAACAAAAATGAAAAGAATAAATAAAAATTAGATAAGATAATTAATTATTAAGAGAATTAGTTTTTATTCTTCATTATACAGTAGAGACTATTCCTGTTCTTTCACTGTTATTAAAAAAGAGTAATTTCTTTATTTTTTTATTATTTATATTTTCTACTTGCTTTATGAATAAATCATTTTATTGTCTTTTTATTCTTCTTTTTTAATTGTTGTTTTAATTTTAATGAATAATACTTTTCTTTATTTCTTATTTTATGATGAATGAATATTTTATTATCATTATATTCCTATGACTATTTTTCTTTTAGTTTTAATAACATCAAGTATTTCTTTTTTTATTTAATATTATTCGTTCATAATACTTTACTTCACTCTTTGAATTATCAATTAATATATTTCTTATTCAAATACATCATCTTAATCAAATAATAATTGATGGTTCATTATTTAATTTTGTATAAATGTTTATGTGTGTTGCTGACATCCAATATTCGAATCTATAATGAAAAAGATAAAAAATAAAAAGAATAATTTATATTATCACTCAAATAGAAATAGAAGAAATTAATAATATTAACATTTCAATATATTGATTACTAACAACAACAAGAAAATGATATTTTATTATAAAATAGAAATGAAAATAATAAATAAGAAAGTCATATTAATATGATCGTCGAAGAAGACAATAAATATTAAGTTGATTTTTTATCATAATTATATAATAATGAATGTATAGTAAAATATAAATATCGTATATGAAAGTATCAATAAATTTATGAAAAAATATAGAGAAATATAATTGGAAAGTCTTATTTATAAATTAATAATAGGCAAGTCAATACAAAAGAATTCTGAGAATATATTGATATGTGCAATCAGTTGAATGAGAAAGTAATAACTAAAATAGGTAATAATACATTTTTACTTACTAAAAATTCTCTCAGAACCAACCAATGACTTTTGATACATTTAGAATGCTAAATTGGTCATTCAGAAATAACATCTTTAGAGATGCTCAAAATATCAAAGACTACGAAAGTCCAAATTAAAATTAATCAATTTACCAACAATTTATTTTATATTTATTTGGTACTTGTATTTCTTTACTCTTCTTTATTCATTTAATCTTGATTTTTCCAATAATTTTTATTTCTTAATTGGATTTATTTTTGACTTCATTTATCTTCTTTATGTATTTACACAATTATTTAATCAAAATTAATTATACGTTAGTACCTCATTAGTTAATATTCTACATATTATTTTTAACATTTTTATTTCATATTTTTATTCATTATATATCTTTCTCTTTCTAATATTTAATTATTAGAAATGCAGAAGAATGTTATAAATACTCTCTTTTATTCTTTTAATAATGTTGTTATTTATTTTTTTAAATAGTACTCATTCGAATATTATTCATCAGTATTATCGAAAAAAAAGAAATCTATATTCTTGTAGAATATTATAATGAATTAATTGGTTGTCGAAACTTTTTAATTTTAACTCATAACCAATTAGTTTCTTTTATTTTTTGTAGAGTCTTTGGTCAAAGGGTAGATTGTAATTAACATAATATTATGTAATGTTTTGAACAAAAATAGAGAGTGGATATAAAATGAGTTATTTAAAAAACAATAACTAATATAATCTTTATCATTATTAATTATGTTAAAGAGAATAATTTTATATAAAATAAGTAAATAATACTCATTGATTCTTTATTTAGAATGATTTATTAAAGATAGAATAACTAAATAAATTGAAAAAGTGTTATATTTATATTAAAAGTATATAGTTTATTGAATATTTAAACAAAAAAACGTTAACAAATGAATTTCAATATTATTTTTAATGTAATTTTAAAAAAAGCATATTTTGTTTGGTGAGAATTTGTTTTACTAATATTCAAAATGTCAATTATCAACATTGTATATTATTAGGAAAATTTTGATTATTTGAATCTACATTTAAAATTTATTTTTATAATGGTTTTAATACTGATAAAATTTAAATAAATTTATATTTCTTTTATTGGTTTTGTTTAAGTTATATTCTTTTCTATTTTTATCAATCTAATATCTTGTTTGTATTTTTTGCATTATTTAAATCGCATGTAATGATAAATGTCTATGTTTTATGAAAATTTTATTTACTTCAAAGAAATAATATCATGAAGTTATATCCTTTCATAATTAACAATTATCTAAAATTTTCAGTTATTTAATTAATATTTTTAGATATAATTTAAGTATTTTAACAAAAAATATCAATAACCACTATAATGTTCTAAATCATTTATTGTTATTACAACGTATATTTATACGTGTAGTATTCTTTTAAATTAACAAACACATTTAAATATATTTAAATTATTATTATTATTATATTTACTAAAATAACTATTGTTTTGATTATTACTAAGTTTATGATAATTGTATTTTTTTAATTATTTTTACTTACATTCAAAGTCATATATGAATAAATAGTTACAATAATTTGTATTTTGTCTTCGTTTTTATATTATATATTATACAAAACATATCATTTATTTTAAGCAATGTTAAAAACAACAATATTTTATTATATAATCATATTTTACTATCAATATTTGTTTTTTTACTTTTTAAGTACAACATATATTTTATTAATTTATAATAACTTCTTTTGGTATTGTCTACACAAAATATGTTTAATGATTATCTATTTGTTTGATTCTTATATTTTATAAGTTTTGATATGAAACAGTAAAAGAAAATATTTAATTTAAGTTTGAAGAGTCTCTATAAGATTAATGAGAATAATTAATTGACACAAATGAATAATTTAATAATTATACTTGAATTATAGTACAGTTATTAAGAAAAATATGAATTTAAATGTTTAAAAAGATAGAATTTGTTGCAAAAGTTTTCAAATTAATATTATCATAAAAAGGTTAATGTTCAATAATTCATAAAAACAAAATAATCAATTACAAAATAAAATAAAACATATAATGACATAAATAAGTGATTTTAAATTGTTGATAATATAGTTTTACTGTTCATAATGAATTGAATTTATAAGTAATAAACATAATTAAGGATTGAAATATAACAAACCACATTTAACAAAGTTTCAAAATTTTTAAAACTTATTGTCATTATGAATATTATTTATTATTAGTTAGTCTTAAGACATATTTAATAAAATGCTAAAATAGGTTTCTCATATCTATTAAAAATAATCAAATTAGTTGTAAATAGATAGAGAATTGTGTCTTTGTGTTTGTTTATATTATGGAAAGAATTTGTTAAAAGAAAATAAACAAAAAAGTTGTTTAGTATAACACATAATATAATAACAATAGCAATTATAAAATGTTATTAGTAAATAAAAATGATAGAATTCATTCCAAAACTTGAAAAATTCATTCAAAAAAAATGGAAATAGAAGAAGGACCAAGTATTTATGAACGACTACTAAGTATTGAAAAGAAACAAGTAAATATACCAAAGGCACAACAACCAAACCCAAATAATTCACACGTTATTAAAAGGTGGACAATGACAAAAGTTGATAGACTGGCTAAATTAGAAGAGGTTAATATGGACAAAGCGTCTCAACTACTTGTCGATGTCTCAACACCATCATATTATTACAATAGTAACAAAGTTAATGAAACAATGTTTAAATACCAACCAAATCCAAAACAATGGAAAGGAGAAAAAGGAGTGAAAGAAGGCAAACGTACTCGAGCGGTCAAACCAGGAAAAGTAGTTATTAAGTGATACAAAAGAGAAGTCAATAATATTGAACTTTTTGTAATTGAAACTTTTTTCATTATTTTAATTAATATATGTTATATAAAACATTCTTTTAATACATTTATTATAAAAAATATTATTGTTTCTTTTTAAATCATTTATAAAAGAATCTAATGTTTAATAATTCTAAAACTCATTTTATAAATTATAAACTAAATGTATTATGTTATTAAATTACCCTTTTAAAAAAACAGTATAGTCATAAATGGTTTGTTTGTAAAAGACAGTTATTTGTTTTGGTTGAGAAGTTACTATAAACTTTACTTTTATTAATAAAATAATAGTAACTATTAATTGCTCTATTCTTTACAATGAAAAATAAATGAATATCCACAACTTTATAAAAGTTAGAAGTGATATTTTCTGTTTATTTATTAAATAAAACAATGAAATTGAAAAATTCTTTGAATAAAGATAAAAACTATCGTTATATATAACAGAATCATTAAAAGTATTTAAAAGAACTCAAAAAAACAATAAAAAAAGAATAATGGAAGAGCAACTTTTTTCATTTCCAATCACGGTTTTGCCTTTTCGTTATTATAATATTCCAAAAGAGTATGAGTATGTTAAGAATAAAGCAGATGATATACTTTTAATAGATAAGAAAATTATTATTATTTATAGTAAAAATGAAGAACATGTAATTGTAAATGATTCTAAAGATATTTATCTTCAGGGGGATATTGATCAATATCATAGAGTTGTTGTTGTTACAAGTGAAGGAAGACTTATTTTTCTTAGAGAACGAGAAATAAAAAATGAAAAGACATCATATGAAGAATTTGATATTAATTTCTTCTTTCCTGAAGAAC